TTATACAAAATTAATTATAAATACCATAAATATTAAATATTGATGTGTAACATTTTCCCACTAACCCAAATTTATAGTACCATTTACCAAAAGAATAACTTTGTACAATTTATTCAAAAATAATTTCTCATAAATTAAGATTACACTGATGAACTAATAAATACTTCACAAAATAATCAAGACCAATGGAAATACCTTTAAAGGTTGGATTAAGTAGTAGTTAAGTGTGGCCTCATGTACAACACTTAAAATTTAAATCTTAGAGTCACCCATTAAAAAAAATTAATATCTTTAAAATACACTAAATCAAATGTAAGATTTTGGCCCTAAGATTATCTTTAAAAAATTAGTTTTATAATGTGCAAACTCTAATTTGAAAACATCCAACTACCCAAACTAGAACAATTATCACAAGATTATACACATTCTTTTACAGTTGGTGAGGAGCTATGCACCATAAAATAACCCTCCTAAAGAGACTTCCAGTTCCAGCATATTTTGATGAAGAAAAATAGAGAGGATGAAAAATTTTGGTTAAATACCTGATTTGGTTCCTGAACTTTCATTTTTGAATCAAATTTACCCTCAAACTTTAAAAAGTCCTAAAAAATCCTTAAACTTCAATTTTTGGAACCAATTTCATCATTCCATCAACAAAAGTGCCAAATGTCATGTTAAGTTGTCACCAAATCAATTTTTATTTAAAATCTTAATGACCTATAAAACAAAACAACATCTTTTTTGCCACCATGGCATTTTTTCATTTCCACATCAGTAATGAAATTTTACAAACATTTTCCACTCAATTTTCCTTCACTTTCCTATGAACCAAACAACAAAAATTCATTCCATCCAAATTAAATTCAAATCTCAATATTTCGAACCATCGAATCTTCTACAAAACCACCAAATTCAAGCTTCAAAAAACACTAATATGGAAAAAAACTCACTGCTTTGCACCACCAAATTTAGAACAAAACCTTCAAATTCAAGCTCCAAAAAGCATAGATTTGGGTTGTTGTATGTTCTTCAAATGTTGGGTTCTCTCCTGTAAAATGAAGTAAAAAAAATAAAGAAAATACTACAATTTAATTTCAAAAATCTCGAGTTCTAAAGGACTAACTGAATAGAGAAGAGCCATACATAATCCACCTAGACAGCACTATCGTGAATCCACCGGAGATCCCAGAAACGACAACGTAACTTCGTCCCATACCACCGGCTTTATTCTTTGATCTCCAGATTCTAGAAGACGATTCTTCAATCTCACGGCTTCACTCTCACGAACTCCTCCTTTATGGTTTGTGATCCGCAAATTTTCATAAAGAAATTGCCTTTAGATCTCTCGTGGAAGGCTTCTAAACGCAACTTACAAAACCAAAATTAACAAATTCAATGCTCTTTGTTGCTTCTTTTCTTATATTACAAACCCAAATTCCAGTTGCTACCACCCCAACCATCACCATCGCTACCACTCCCAAATGAACCATATCTAGAAGTAATTTAAAAATTTTCATTTAATAACCATTTATTAAATTATA